CTTTGTACCCGTCCTGAAGGATTGAAGCAAGTACACCATGCTTGTCCAATGCATGTTGCTTCTCTTCAGTGTGTGCCTTCCAGTCATTCAAGAGAAGATAGAGAAGAGTGCTGCATCAAGCCCCTCCCTTTGGTGTTCAAGAATTTCATGCACGGCTTCGGCTTGGTTTGTCGCCAATTCTCAGAACACAACTCGAGCAGTAGTGCACCATAGTGCACTATCAAACACTTTCTTAGAAAGGCATCGCCTTTCTTTGTCTCTTGACTCAAACATTTGTAACTACCATTTGGACCGGCTCCGTCTTGTACTTTTTCCGACTCAAGGACCGGAGATTGGGCGCCAGAAGGGCCGCGGCATTCGTCGTCCTTTTGAAACCACTCGGCGCTGCCGAGGTTTCTCAAGCCTGAAACATGCCCATCCATTGAAGCCACTCTGCGCTGCCGCCGTTTTGCTCGTCCATGGCGAATAGGAGGCCAGTGTCAATCACTTGCCTTTGTTGATAAAGAGTTGCATGTGCAGCTTCAGCGTTTGCATCGCATTTGTTTGACTTGTCTCTTGAGCGTTAACATGTGTGATAACTAATGCAGCCGTTTGCCCTGCTAAGGCAGCCAGTCTGATGCGATGTGTTCAAAGGACAGCCCTATTAATTCGAGCACTTAAGTCTTGTGCTTGAACGGAAAATCCTTGTTTCAAGGCTTGAGTCTTGAGTTACTGCTAAAAAAAATACAAAGTGTGATGAGATGCTGCATGAAAGGATCCTCTCACCACTTTTGGATGCACCGTTTTGGTGGCTTCTGAAAGCTCATCCTGAAAACCTTGAAGAGCTGTGTGCCTTTTGTTCTTGATTTGTTGGCATCCGTTTGAGTTGTCTTTTGCTCCCAAACCTTTGTTATCACTGGTACTGTCGTCCTCTCAGCAATCCCGGAATCATTCAGATAGGTTCTCAGTGGTCGGGTGATGTAGTAATACATGGTATTGATTTGGAGTATTCCATGTGTGTAGCGCCTGCCGAGATTTTGCCACGCTATGCCGCGTGCTATGCCGCGTAAGAAACCCAATGGGATCACGATAAGTCAGCGAGTCAAGTCAGGCTATTCACCTAACTCACTGGCATCAAGAGAAAGCCACCTTGCTCCAACAGCTTTGTTTGGGGACCACTCAGCATGCCAATGGGATCACAGAAGGATTCTACTGAGAGTTTGAACAGAGCTCACGTGTGTCTTGATCGCAAGCATACTCGCAACCATTTTGATTGGCTATTGAAAGTCCTGAAGCGGGGCCACGCCGATTTGAAGGTCCTGCGCCGGGCTTCGTCGCAGCGCTGAAAAAGAATTGAAGTCTAGTGCCAGGAAGGCTGGACCCTTCGGATGGAAGCACATCCAATATAGGGTGGTGCATAACGCCGCCTGTTGGTGTATTGTGAGACCTTGTGATCCTTCCGCTGGACCAGAACAAGAGAAGAGTTCAGGTACCAAGTGCTGCCTTCGTCAAGATGTGCATTGTGCATCCCCACAGCAGAGTGAAGAGTGCTGAGTCCATAGTTTCCTCTCTTCGGACAAAGGTATGCCAACGAAGGCTTTCTGAGAGACATCGGACTGACTTTTCTCTCGAACTCGAACATGTTTGATGACTGAAGCAGCCATTTGATCAGCGGCGGCAAGTGTTTTGACAGGTTCTGATTTATAGTGGTCAGTTGGACCATGTTTGTTGAAGGGAATGCAGAATGCGAGTCGTTGGCAGTCCCGTATGAGATATAGTGAGTGCTCAGTGCTCCCTGGTAAAGACGATTCAATTCAATTCAATCGAACATGTAGTAATTGTAGCACGCAGGGCCGTCTTGTTCGTTGCATGCATCCATTCTCCAACGTGTCTAGCTCTGTGTCGATGACCTCCCAGTTGGCAAAGCTTCTGACATGCGGCTGTTGCTCCTGTTATCCCGCAGATCCCAAAGCCATCGGAAGACGGCTGTGCCAACCAGCACTATGTTGGTGGTATTGGCGGCGTCGGTTTGACGTGTGTTTTGTTCTTGATTTGTTGGCATCCGTTTGAGTTGTCTTGCTGCCAGTAACCTTTGTTGTCACTGATGCTGTTGTCCCCTCAACAATCCTGCAGTCCTTCATGCTTGCGGCCCCTGCCGTGATCTTGCCGTGGTATGCCCGGTAAGAAAAGCAACAGATCGTACAGAAACCCATTTGGATCACAGAAGGATTCTACTGAGGGTTTGAACAGAGCTCACGTGTGTCTTGATCGCAAGCATACTCGCAACCATTTTGATTGGCTATTGAAAGTCCTGAAGCGGGGCCACGCCGATTTGAAGGTCCTGCGCCGGGCTTCGTGGCAGCGCTGAAAAACAATTGAAGTCTTGTGCCAGGAAGGCATTTCCTTTGACATGAATTTTGTACCTGTTCCATGAATCAATGAAGTGCTGCCGAGCTTGTTGCAGGCCATGATTCGCATGGAGGCACCTCCGCCAAAAGGAGAAGGCACTGCCTGGCCCTCCCATTTAGAAAACCCCTTGATTGGAAGAGAGGTGGCCGACCCCGTTGCTTCATGCATCCCTCCGCTGTGGATGCCTTTCGATCCGTTGCATTGAAACCGACGTGAAGGACACCGAGGTTCGTGTTCCGAGGGCACGTGGCGGACGCCGGACGCCTTTGCGACGATGGGTCGCTGGGCTTGTCCAGCTTGGCTCGTGTTTCGGAGCGTGAACTTGGAAGATCCAACGGATCCCTTGCTGCGGTGGCCATATTTGGGGTGAACGGCCGGAGCTGGATCAGTGCTTGTCATACGTTTCACACTCTTCACCCCCCCATTTTCAGTAATGTTGGACTCCGATGATATCGAAGGAGCACTTGTGGCAGCCCGACTTAGCAGTGCATCATGCTGAGCATCGTTGAAGATCCTTCAACAAACCCAGCAAAGATCTTAGGGCCCCCGAGATCATCCTGTAGTAAAAGCTCTGGCCGAAAAAGGGTAAGACCTCTTTGGAGCTTGTGCAAGTGTCCTTCCACCACATCTCCCCATCACTTGTTAGTGCAATCTTTTCTCTTCACTCACTACCCAAAGTCAGAACCCATCATGTTCCAGCCCATGCGAACCCATCACTTGTGTCTCGCCAGCTCAGTGGAATGGAACGGTCGAACCAACGTGTTGAGAAGGAGTTCCATGCACGAGACGAGCGAGCGTGGCCATTTTCGTGTCGGAGCGGTCACTGGGGCACAGCGGCTGCGGAGTGGGTATGCCACCTGGCAGCATGACAACACTTGCTTGTCCCACTCTCCTGTAGGAGTCGATTCAAGCTGAGCTTGTCTCAGTGGTCACCGCAGCTGACGCAGGTCACCATGTCGGTTTGGAGGGCGGAAGGCCGCAGGTGTTGGGTCTCCCCAGCGGCGTTGGTTTTGCAATCATTTTGAAACAGCCAGTCACACGGAGCACGCACGTTCTTTTTGCAGGGAACAAAACAAGGCGGCCACGTAACCCGTGAAACCCACGGCCGGCGTGACACTTCACATGCGAACGTCCAGCTTCGCTTCTGCCGAGAGCGGCTTGTCGGAGTTTCGACCGGAGTTCGCAAGCCCGTTTGAACCTCGGCCTCAGCGAAAAAGAACGACATGGTGACATGGACCGTGCGTGCTGGTGTTGGTTGGAGTGGCTGCAGCGTGTTGTTCACATTTGTACTTCTGGAAAAATTATAGTTGACTTGTAACCTTGACTGCAATGGTGTGGATGGCTCAAAGCCTGGATGAACCTGTGGGTAGGTGAGCTCCTGAGGCTGCTTGCTTCAGGTTCCGCCTCTGGCTGGTGGGGTCTGGCGTGCCCGGCGCATTGCAGTGCTTCGTTCCTGCTTGTGGCCTCCGTCTTCCTCACCGGCCTTTGCACTGGGGCCTTGGTTTCCGTGTGTCTTGGCTTTTGGCTAACCCACCGGCCTTGGTTTTGGGCTGCTTCACCTCCTTCGCGGAGCACCTCATCCACTCCTACCTCTCGCCTTGCGGCGTACTTATATGAACGGGACCGCCCTCTCCATCTTGATTGAGGCAACTCGTGCGGTTTCCCGTTCCCTCAGGGGACTTGCTGACACCTTGGACTTGGCTGCGGCCCGGGCGGAAGGTTCTCGCCCTCCTCCTGCTCCTACTCCTGCCTTGTCCTCTGATACGGTTGACACTGTTGACTGGGACCTCATCACCCAGCTGGACTCCATCACAGCCCCTTCGGCTGGACCTCGACCATCTGCTGCCCCAGGCCTTCCTGGCCCTGAATACTCTGGCTACCACGAAGTCGCTCGTGCTTTGCTCCCTTTGCCTGAGCATTGCTTGGATTTGTGCCGTCGCCTGGCAGGTTCTCCAACTGAGGTTCGTGCTCGAGCTCAACGTGCTTGGGACGCTGGTCAGTGGGCAAAGGCCACTCTTGAGAACAAGGTTGCCAAGCCGAGGCCTACTCCAAAGTTGGCATTGCAAGCTACGTGCTACATTATCCTTCGAGGACCAGGCATTGAGAGGCCAGTTCGAGTGGCATCATCTGCGGAGTACTTCAAGCTCCTCCCCACTTTTGAGGGCTCGGTGTCACACTCGTTTCCCTCCTTGGCTGAAGGCCGTGTGTACTGCTTGGCTGCAGGTGTCGCATTCCCCGACCCTGCTGATCAGTGAGGATGCCCGCCGATGTCAAGTACCTGGACCAGGGAGTGTTTATGTTGCAAGTCCTGGGCCTCGATTTTGCAATATTTGGTTTGGAGGGTGTCAGAGAATGCTTTGCAGTACCAATTATGTCGAGGGCGGCTGGGACGCGCTTTGCAGTACCAGTTGGCTTCTTCCCGGAGGAGGTCCTGTCTGGAGGCTAGGAGGCTGCGTCGGGGGACTTTGTAGGTCCTTCCACAGTGGTCACTGTCTCTTTGGTTTTCGAGGAAGAGGATGGCGCGGAGTCTCAGACTGGATTGGAGGCAGAGGTTTTGTTGGTCGACCTTCACAAGATGGTTATGGACTTTGTCGGAGGGGCCCGGGATTCAGGCTTTCTCTATAGACAACCCCGACTTGGTCCCCGATGGAAACTCCCTCATGAAGGAGGTCTACTCGTGGTTGGAGTCAGCTACAGAGGGGAGAGCCCAATACTACTCTGCAGAGGAGCCCCCGCCGCAAACGGTGATTCCCAAGCAATCCCGGCAGAAGAACAGGGCTCCAGTTGGTGGGGCTTCCCCGCCGAAAAGAGTGACTACCGCAACGTTGGCCGAGCAACTAGCAGAACTTTCCAAGAGCATCCATGCTACATCGTCCCAATTGGAGACTATGGCACAGCGGCAAGACCGGATGGAGAACCTGCTCGCATCCCCTGCGGCTCCGGCCCAACTTCCGGTTCCAGCGCACCAGCGCCCTTTCCAGACGGCGGCTCCAGGAAATCCCTCTCCCCTGCAATTCATGAGAGGGGTCGGCACTCCCCCCCAGAGTCCGGACTTTCCAGGAGAAGGCCACCAGGACTCCCCTCGCCCCAGAGGTTCCAGAGATTCCCGAAGACGAGCCACTCGCCCTTCCATCAGATCCAGACTTCGTGGCTGCAACTGCTCCTACTGGCAACAATCAGCCCATGGATGTGACCTCGGCCATTTTCCAACAGTCCCAAGCTCTCTCAACCCTGGTGGCACACTTGGTAAACCAGGATGGGCTGGCCGATTTTGCTGGAACTGGCAGCTCCTCAGCCATCTCCCTGAAGGGGTCAGCCAAGAGAGACAAGCTCATGATGGACCTGGCTATGAGGAAAGGCGACTTCTTCCTGAAGGTGTCTCAGAATGCCTTCCGTCGCTTGAAACCCACAGAGAAGATGCCGAGGACCTTGGAGGAGTTTGCCGGCAAACCGATCTTTGCGAAGTATGCGGAGAGGAGTGGTGGGTTCTCTGGCCAGAGAGATTTCGGGTTGATGATGTGGCTACTATGCCAGATTGGAGATGCCATGATCAATGGAGACAACAAAGGAGCACAGGAGTTGCTGGCTCTAACCTTGGTGACGATCGAGCAGGCTGCCCAAGACAATGGCAAGTGGGAGGTTGCATGGATCCTATCGCTTCAGGAGGATCCCCCCTCCGGGCCTCTTCATGGCAAGGCCAGCCTCGACAAATCCGAGGCTCAGGGCTTTCTCTCCACTATGCCCTCCAGAGTGGGCAGCAACTGCGTTGTCCTTTGTCAAGGAGGTGGATATCATCAGCACCCGACGTCAGGAGGCCCTCCCATCGAAGAAGACTCAGAAGCAAGGGGAGGAGGCCGACAATCCCAAGAAGAAGCCACAGAGGTATCCGAAGAAGCCAAAACAAGGAGGGGAGTAGACCTCGAACTGGATGAAGGGCTCGAACATGGGTCCATCTCTTCTTCAAGCGCTCCTTTCTGGGCTGAGGATTCCTACGACATGCACCACGATGCCTACCACTACATCCCCTGTTCCGGAAGCGAAGACTTCTGCCGGGATGATGGCACTTTTGCAGATGATGCGGGACCATTTGAAGAGGAACCTGCATCAGAGCCACCCCCCCCACCTCCAGGCAGTGGGAGAGGCTACAGACCTTTTCTTTTTCTAGATGGGCATCTTCTCTATGCTCAGAAGTTTTGAGGTCGAAGACATCCTTCGGGATTTTTCTCCGTTCAACTCTCACGGTTCAAAGATTGCTTCCAAGTACATCTTCAAGTGCACTTTTTCCTCTACCAGTCCCAAAGCTTGGCATTTTCCTTCCAAGGAGGTGTGGCTCCAGGCAGAGAAGGAGGCTTATGGTTGATCGAGCTTTCCATGTCTGCATCATGGCCTTGAACTTCTGGCACGCCGACTTCAAGCATATTCCTGTGGAGTCGATTGCGAAGGAGCCATCACCGGCCCAAGCCCAGGCCCTGGTCAATTTGAAGAGGATGTTGAGGGCATTCGGTAGCTCCCAGGAAGAGTTCTCTGTTCCAAAGAGCGGCCGTAGACTGACATCTTTGATCGCGCTCCTCTCTGATCCTTCTGAGTTTGCTACATGGAGAGGCATCGGAGGTAGCGCCTACTCTCGATCCTTCCCAGGAGCACCGGATATCGGCAAGAAGGAGACCTACGTGCCTAGGAATCTTTCACGCGCAGAGGAGCTTCGTCCATATCGAGCTCTTGACCCCGATAGGCTGGTGCTGTCAGGGAAGGCTTTCTGGAACCCCGACAGGTTCCTTTCGGACATGCTCTGGATGGCTTTTCAAGAGCCAAACTCGCTACTTTGGACGGCATCAGAGAGGTCTTCTATGGTGCCGGACCTAGCCAGAGAATCATATGACTCGGTGAGGGACCTTGCGCTTTTATGGGACATCAACGGTCTGCTACATCTGGAGGAGGCCAGGGAGGATGATGACCCCACTCTCGCGATGAGGTTCTTCAACTGTTACAAGAATGAGACGACTGACCGAATGATTGGAGACCGGAGGTCAAGAAACTATGTGGAAGGTCGTTTAGCGGGAGTCTCATCGGGCCTGCCGTCAGCTCAATGCCTCTTCGATCTTGAGATTGAGCTCCCCGTACAACGCATTTCAATATGTGCCTCAGACAGGAAGGACTTCTACCATCAGCTTGGAGTTCCTACTACCAGAGCGAGGACAAATCGTCTCTATCCTCCACTCCGAATCTCCGACCTCAAGAGCACCAAAGCTTTTCAGGCATGGGCCCTCCGGCGACTTGGGGGGAACCACTATGACCGTGCTCTGGAGGGTGATTTCTTGGCCTTCGGGGGGGAAAAAGCTCAAGAAGGCTGCTGAGGGAGGATTGATCAACGCCTGCTTCGCAAGCATACCTCAAGGAGATCACCTTGGAGTTGAATTCGCCACGGACAGCCATAGGAACTTCCTCTACCATCGGGGCCTCCTGACTACAGAAACAGAGCTCAGAGCAGACTGCCCCTTCTACGGCTCGAACCTTGCCACAGGCCTGGTCATCGATGATTACTATGCAGTTTCGATTGAGGAGAACAGCTGTCCTATTTGGAATCCTGACCAGACATGGACTGGAAGGTCGCAGGCTGCTCAGCTGCTGCAGAAAGCAACCACTGCCTATGAGGAGGCTGGACTTCTGGGATCTCCTGCCAAGGACATCCTTGATGAACAGAAAGCTTGCATCATGGGCGCTGAGATTGATGGTAGCCAAGCTGCACGAGAGAATGGGGTGGTCACTGTTGGTGCCCCTGTTCACAGGCGCCTCGCCCTTGCCTATGTCTCCCTCACCCTGGCCAAGATGCGGTACACCACTGATGCTCTCCATGTTTGTTTGGTTGGAGGATGGGTGAATGCTGTGCTATACAGAAGACCTGCAATGTCGCTCCTCCAAGAGGTCTACAAGATCCCGCTGTCAGAAGTGTCCCAAGACTCACCTAAGGTGATCCGATTGTCAAGAGGTATGGCTCAGGAGCTCATCATGCTGGCAGTGCTTTGCCCTTTCCTTGCTACTGACATCTCTACGCACGTTCAGGAACAATGCTATGCCACTGACTCGTCGGATGCGAAGGGAGCTGTGGTCTCATGCAAGGTGCCTCGGAACATTGCTAGAGCTTTGGTGCGCACTGGCAGGAAGAAGACGACCTACACGAAGATGCTGGCAAAGCACGAAGCCGTGCTCAAGAAGATCGATATTGATTTTGAGGAGGCTGACATCCCGAATGATGAGTTCGCAGATGACTCCTTCACTGCTCCAGATCGACCACGGGCCTTTCGTTTCCACTTCATTGAGGTTTGCGGAGGCTCTGGAAAGATCACAAAATATGTTGATGAACTGGGCTGGGTAGTTGGACCAGTGCTGGACCTTGATAGATCTCCTGCCTACGATTTTTCAGTCCTGCGCTTGCTTCAATGGATTTACTTCATGTTGGAGGATGGCAGGCTGGATTCCTTTATGGTGGAGCCCCCCATGCACTACATGCAGTCCGGCACAACACCCGGCTTCCAGATCGTACCAGGAGCCCAGAGGCTATGACCCTACGGATCCAAAGACCTTGCGTGGCACTACTCTTGCTCTGAGGTCGCTAGCTCTTCTACAGCTTGCTGCAGACTTGAATACCCCTGGACTGCTGGAGCAGCCTAGAAGGTCGAAGATGAGAAGGCTGTCAGAATGGCAAACGCTGGTGCTACTTGGCCGTGCGGAGGAGACCTGGACTGCTAGCTGCATGTGGGGATCTCCCCACCAAAAGGAGTTCATCTTCCTGACGGTCCATATGGAAGCAAGTGTCTTGCATAGGAAGTGTGACAAGTCTCATTCACACATCCGGATTGAAGGCAAGTGGACCAAGCCTTCAGCCACCTACACGAATCCTTTGGCCTACGGTATTGCCACCTGCTTTGACAAAGCCCTACGCACAAAGCTCAAACGTCTTCAGCTTCAAGAGCCCAAGACTCTCGGCCTGGAAGGTCTTTTGTGCAACGAGGTCATACTGTCCCGGAAGTGGCAAGTCGACAAGGTCTGGAGGTGAAAGAAACCCTTGCACATAAATATCCAGGAGGCCTTGGCAGCAGAGAGGCTTTTCCTCCAGGAGGCGAAGTTGCGCCCCCCGGAGTCGCTTCGCCATCATCATGGATTCCAATGTTGCACTCTCATCCCTGGTTAAAGGGAGGTCTCCTTCGCATGGCCTTCGGAAGGTTTAAGGAGGGCTGGATCCACGCTGGTGGCAGGATGTCTGTACCCGTCATTTCATTTTGGCCCTACCAGGATACTACCTGCTGATCATCCTACAAGGGATCATGACATGCCAGAGCCTGCCAGAACGTTTATTGATGAGGGTGTCAGCTTGCAAAAGTTGCTGGCGCTATCAAAGACGAATGGGCCTCGAAGGTTTGCTGCTAACTGGCTCAGGTTGGTCCTGATCCTGATTGGGGGGCATCCCTCCCTGGTTTGGCTCCTCAGAAAGTTGGCGCTATGGACATGTTGCTTATAAGCATTTTCCTTTTGGAAGCACTCGGCCTGTCCATCCTCGGATCATGAACTTCGACAGCTCTCTGGGCTATCCAGGCGAAGGACCATCCGCCTCCCTCCAATGTCAGGCTGTCGAGCTTGCGCCTCCATCTTGTCAGTGCTCTTGGATTTCAGCTTGGGCTTGGATTTTATGGACTTTCAGCATCTTGTGGCTCGGCCCTCTCTGTCGTGATGGACTTCCTGGACTTTTGCTCCTTGGCCTCCTCGGTCTCGATTGCGGATTTTTCTGCCTGGACTTTCCCGGCGGTGCGATCAAGAGAAGACCGACCTTTGCCAGTCGGTCCCGCTCTTCTTCGCGCATCCTTTCTGTTCAGCGCCAAGCCAGATCCCACCGGCATGTAGGTTTAGGTTTTATTTTCCTTTTAGCTAGTGTCCGGGTAGACGCGGTGAGCCATGGACCCAAGCTCGTGCCTCGAGACCGTGCTGATCAGGCAAGAGCCGCTGGAAGGGGAGACCTCGAGTTGCCCCAGGGGAGACCAGTCCTCCCTGAGACACAGAAGCAGCGAGACAAGCTCCTGAGCTACTTTTCGGATTGGCTTAGGGGCCATGGGTTTGAGCTGGAAGAAGTTTTGATGGCAGCCACGCCTGACCTCGAGACCCTGAACACACTGGTTGAGAAGTACGGGCGTGAACTTTACAGGTCAGGTCGACCATATGGACACTACTCCGAGACGCTCAATGCGATCTCGGGAAAGAGGCCACGAGTGAGAAGACACCTCCAGCCCGCGTGGGACCTTGCCTACGCATGGCTGCGCCAGGAACCGCCGGCGCACCATCTGGCACTTCCTTGGCAAGCGCTCCTATCGCTCATCTCCACGTCATGGACATGGGGCTGGAGCAGGGTGGCAGGTGTCATCGCCCTTTCATGGGGCGGAATCACCCGCATTGGAGAAGTGCTGTCAGCGTGCAGGCGGGACTTAATCCTCCCAGGAGATGTGGAATGGTCCATCAACTATGCCCTCCTGCAGATCGCTGAGCCCAAGACGAGATATAGATGCGCAAGACACCAAATTGCATGGCTTGATCAGCCGCAGCTCCTGAAGGTCATTGAAGTGGCGTTTGGTGGCCTGCTGCCCGAGCAGCGGTTGTGGCCTGCTTCAGGCCAAACCATGAGGCACCGGTTCCAAAAGCTCCTCCAAGCAAACAAGTTGGATACTTTGCCAGAGGGCATCAGCCGAGGCATTGACCTCGGATCGCTTCGAGCAGGGGGAGCCTCTTGGTTGTTGATGAGCTCGGAAAACTCCGAGCTCACGAGAAGAAGGGGCAGATGGATCACCTCCAAGGTCATGGAGGTGTACGTGCAGGAGGCATGGTCTGTGCAGTTTCTGCCTCGCCTTCCGCCAGAAGTCAAGAAATTGATTTGGAATGGTGCCCAGATTTTTCCTTGGGCTCTGGATCTTGTTGTGGCTTGGCACGAAGCCAAGATTCCGGAGTCAGCACGGCCATGTTTGTTCCTCCAGGCCTCGAAAGACTTTGAGCTGGACCACTTGGGTGCGAAGAGTTTGGGTGGTGCAGCCGCTGCCGCGGCTGTGTGTGCAGCTCCAAAAGAACCGTGAGAGAAACACCTGCTTGAAAGGTTGACTTGTAACCTTGACTGCAATGGTGTGCATGGCTCAAAGCCTCCCGCCACACCCGCCCTCGAGGCCGGAGGAACCTCTCCAAGCCGCTGCCGCGGCTGTGTGTGCAGCTCCAAAAGAACCGTGAGAGAAACACCTGCTTGAAAGGTTATATAATAGTATTTATATGTTATACATCTTTACCTCTTTTGACTTTTTGAATTTGTTTGATGCCATATCCATCAAGGATAGTAGCTGTATCTATTTGTTTTATTGGTCGACTGCTGTGATGGATGAACGGACCCAAGAAGTGCCAGAACTCGACCGGCAGACACGGCGGACCTGAGGTGCTCACGGGTTGGGTTCGTGTCGGCCATGGTCATGTTTGCTTTGGTGAAGATTCTTCCCGCTTCCCTGCTCACATCGGGAAGATGAAAAAGATCGTCCGGCCACGTACGTGTGGCTATGGGAAGTCTTCACTTCGGCATGAGAGGGAGAATCGACAGTAGCTTGGACTGACTTATACAGCATTGAGTGCAAGACATGGAATTTGCTTTTCTTCACGCTTTCATTGCCTGAGCTTCATGCAACAGGCCCACTGAACAGAAGATACTCACCTGGATGGTTTGGATTAGGTCGAGGTCACCAACTCGAGTTGGCTGTGGCCACAGACATTTCACAGTTCAAGTGACACAGAAGCAGCTTGGTGTCTGGGTTTCTTGGTGTTCGCCGTTGGCCGTGTTTTTTCCACACAGGCAGAGATGTTGTAGCCAACGTAGCACCCCGCAGCTCGCTGAGCTCGAACGTAGTGGTTGATGCTATTTCTTCCCTTTCGACTTTGGAGTTGCTATTTCTTCCCTTTCGACTTTGGAGTTGCGTGTCTCCAGTGACAAAGAACTCACTGTTCTGCCACTCAGCAATATGTCAATCACAAAGCTGGCAATTCCCCTGCATGTGTCAATGGTTTTGAGGCAATCCACCGAATATCGTTCTCGTAAAAGAGTTGGTGTTAATAAGCATAGATCAGTCAAAACATTGGAATGTCATCCAAATTATAGAGTGACACATTCTTTGTTCCCGCTTGGAACCGTGGCGAACCGTCACCCAAGAAGGAGACGGAGCAGTAGTTTGCGATGTTCGCGGTGTTCACGGTCTTTTTTTCAAAATCATATGTTTTGTTGACAGCGTTTATCTGGTATGGTGAGGGATACCTATCAAAAAGAACATTAATTCCTATCAAACAGAAAATTGATTCCTATCAAAAAAACATTAATTCGTATCAAAAATAACATTTTCCCTACTCCTTTGGTCCTGGTCTGCTGGTTCCCTGGTCGCTTGGTCCTTTGGTTCCTTTGTCCCTTGGTCCCCTGGTCCCTTGGTCCTCTGGTCCCTTGGTCCTCTGGTCCCGTGGTCTGGTCCCTTGGTCCTCTGGTCCCTTGGTCCTCTGGTCCTTCGTCCTGGTCTTCGGGTCCTTGGGTCTGTACTTTCGAGGCAAGACGCGTTAAAGGTGATTTGGGAATCTGGTCATACATCCTGTGAAGCACCGTAGCAGACCTTTTACCGCCACACGTAGCACACCTTTTTTTGTGAGCCACCCTGACGGTAAAATTTAGACGAAGAAAGTGCCACTCCAAGGTAGCAAACCTTTTGTGAGCCACCTGAGGGCAAAATTTTGAAGAGGAAACCATTCCAACGTTGCAGACTTTTTGTTAGCCTTGCAAGGTTGAAACTTAGAGGAAGAAGTTGCCATTCCAACGTAGCAGGCCTTTGTTTTGTGGCAACCCGAGGGTAGAACTTGCTATTCCAACGTAGCAGACCTTTTGTGAGCCACGCGAGGGCAAAATTTACAGGAGCAGACCTGTTGTCAGCACAAACTTTAGAGGAGGAAGGTGCCATTCCAACATAGCAGACCTTTTGTGAGCCATCCACAGGTCTTGTGGTTTTGTGAGCCATCGTAAAATTCAGACAGATCACGGTTGAGAGGCAGAGAGGTCTACATCTACAAAGATCCAGAGGCCTGGAGATCCAGACGGATCTGCAGGTGTAGAGGTCTAGGAACCCACAGACCTAAAGATGGAGGTGTAGAGGTCTTGAGTCTTGAGATCCAGGGAGGTGTTGAAATCTAAGTTCTATACTTGCAGAGGGTGTAGAAAGACGTTCAGATCCAGAGATATCAAGAGCTCTTTTCACAGGTCTTCAGATCCACAGAATTTTACAAACGCCACGCAAACTGCACTACAAGGTTCGCAATCGCTGCGCTTGCCACGAAGTCTGCACTTATAGACGGAGGTTCACGCAATCTGCACTTTGAGGTTCATGAAGTGCTGCACCTGCCATGAAATCTGCCGTTCCAGTGCACAAAGTGCTGCGCCTGCCACGAGCCCTGCAACTGAAGGTGCTCAAAGTGCTGCCGCTCCTGCCACGAAACCTGCTACTGGAGGTGCTCAAATTGCTGCGCCTGCCACGAAATCTGCAGTTCCAGTGCACAAAGTGCCGCTCCTGCCACGAAATCTGCTACTGGAGGTGCTCAAAGTGCTGCGCAGGCCACGAATCTGCAGTTCCAGTGCACAAAGTGCTGCTACTGCCACGAAATCTGCCACTGGAGATGCTCAAAGTGCTGCGCGCCACGACATCTGCATATCCAGATTCACATGGCGCAGCGCTGCCAAGGCGGTTTGCAGTGGCAGGCGCAGCTCTTTGTGAGAGATTTTTTTGATACAAATTGATTTATATTTTGATAGGATATAAAAAATGTCTTTTTGATATATATTATTTTTTTTGATAGCCCGGCCGTTTGGTGATGCAAGACAAATGGTGTAGTAGTGGCTTGGGTATTGGATGCGGGTGGTCTCGGTTATGTCTCCATACCAGGACCCCATGGATCTTCCAAAGGAGGCAGCGCAGCGGTCACATGTCTTCCACATTTGCCAGTCAGAACACCTGCCGTTTACTGGCATGAGTCAGAGTAACACCACAACATGTTATTAAGAGTGTTTTGTTGTTTTTAAGCTCCTACGATCGACCTATGTGCATCCTGCAGAGCCCTAAATCCTAGAACTCGTTCCAGGCACAAGACGGAAGTTTGTTGAATGTTTTTTCAGACCTGCAAAGTTTCAAAGCTTCCACAGACGACTCGTTTCAGACCTCTTTGTCCGTTTCAATAACTTTCCGTCGCTTTGCAGAGGCCCATGGAGAGGCGGCCAAGCCATATGGTCCGAGCTCTCAGATGTTTCCCATAGCAGCAGAGGTTCAAGTCACGAGTTTCCCGGCAGTTGAGATTTGGCAGCTTTGCCGCCAGAGCTTGCGCCAGAGCTTGGGCTAATTGAAAGTTTGGACATGACAGCAAAACGCTACTCTTGCATTGCATGTTTGCAGGTTCCTTCAGCTTTCTTGGTCATCCCCCAGCCCCAATACATTCATCTTGATCCATGGACTTCTGACCATGCCAAGGCATGCACAAGGATGAAGGCAATGCACAACGACCATGGGCCATGGGTGGGCTATTGGGCTGGGTTAAGTGACGCACGACTGGCGCCTCTCATCGCAAGTAGGCTCCGGTGATTGGAAAGCTCATCCTTGACATCAGAGTTTTGTGGGAAGATGATTGGAGATTTGGAGTTGAAACTTTGCATAACTCTCCTTTTCACGCCGTTTTGAGTTGACTAGGGGCATGTTTTGTCCGAGTTTCTGAATGTAGATCAATTTAATCACCGAAAGACATGCACCTGATACATATTGGACAAAAACATGATTATTTAAAAAAAAAAAAGATATTCTCAGAATTTGGCATCGTTGCCAGGTCAGTCGTTGGTGCTGAGTGCGGCTGAGAATGGACTATGAACGGAGAGGAAGTTGAGCGGCCGCTAGGGGCAGTGGAGGATGTCAACCATGAGCGCCGGGGCCTTGGAGTTTTTTTGAGCTTCTGAAACAAGACGAGACACTTGGCTTCAACATGTGTCGCGGAGTAAACTTATAGACGGTCCATGTGTCGGGCCAAGTGCAGAAGCACAGCCCTGATGTCGGAATCTGTTTGAACATGTTGCAGGAAATGGCCAGGATCCGCACTTGCCATGGTCTTGATCCTTTGGGGTGAATTACGGCTAGCTTCTATGCTCCTCCCCATGCACGCATGAGAGAAACTGGAGAAACTGACGTTCGGTCCATCACGAAGAAGAGGGTGGTAGGGGATCAAAGACGATTCTTGATTCCCTGAAAGTCAAAGACGTCTTGATTTTCAACATGGTCTTTGGATGACCGAGTCTAGGAATTTCACACTTGGGTGGTGCCAAGAATAGTCGAACTGGACTTCTAGGGGAGTGGGACTTTAATACAACCCTGCTACAGGACATTTCGGATACTGGATACTGTTTGGTCACACAGATGCTGCAAGTGACTCTGACCTGGTAAGTCATGCTGCAAGGTGTCAGTCTTTGATACACATGTCAAATAGACATGGTTTCAGGACCATGCTTCGCGATGGGGGCGCGACAGATATTGTTTTTGTTTTTTCCCACGAAGAAAGGCCATTCCATCATGTAAAGAAATTTCAACCCCTGATGCCCGAAGAGGTTTTATATCGTGCGTGCAGGATGTGTTTGGGGGGCATACAGCATACGCACATTGGCATTAGCATGCGATATAGTCCTCCCATAGAAACTTGAGCCAGTGGGTGTTTGGTCAAAGACCTGCCACTTGAACTGGTGTCAAGATGAGACACGGTGTTTTTTTTGTGTTAAACAACGCAATCACACCTCTAACGGTGTCGCCGGTCCTGCCTGCCGGAGAGATAGGAGAGAAACGCAAGACCAAGCTGCCAGAACCGGCTAAAAGCAGCCAGAACCACTGGCTGATGATCCTCCATGATTTTTTCAATGATTTTGTCCAGTCCCTCCCCAGTTCTGGAAACACTTTTGGCCTCCGACCAGCTCTCCACGAGCTGCTTTTATGAGGCGAGGCTAGGAGGGGCCCTTCGGAGCAACCCAGTGGCGGACCGGCGAAGCTCATGCCGCCGAGGCATGGCATGGCCAGAAGTTTGCGCCAGGGTCCAATGGACATTCCTTTCTTTCTTTCTGTCTTTCTTTTCGTTTTCACCTTGTTTGGCACCATAGATTCTTCTGGAGTGACCAGTTCCTTTTGTTTGTTTTTTTCAGCATTCTGAAATATGACAGGTGGCAAAGACAAGAGCATTAAAGCATGGGAGGAACTGAACAAGAAAGAGAGCACTTGTTTGACCCAGAGAAAACTGTTGAGAATTGGACAAGCTTCTGAAGAATAATAGTAATATAACAAGAATAAGAATAAGGAGAAGACAAGCAACATAACTAGTAGCTAGAAGAACTTAAGGGATGGGGGGAAACCAACTTCAACAAAAAGAAGGGTCGGCAGGGCTGAACATATCAAAAAAAAGCAACATAGGCATAGCAGAAGCTAATCAAGAAAGGGTCAAGAGATACGTCAGAAGAGGAACAAGCATTTGACAGGTGTCAGGTGTACTGGTTTTCGAGCTGTATCTTGAGGATAGGGTTTGGAGCCATAGCAACACAAAAGGAAGAACAGCAGAGGGGATACACATCAGTTCAGCAGATGAACCAGCTTGAACCAGCTTTCCTTCCCCAAAGGTTTCCTCCTTTGTAGGGGTCCCAACTTCAGAAGCTATGAACAGCAATGAACAGCTATGAAGCACTCAGAAATCCCATCCGAACGCACGCACGGCCTGCGGTCCGGACGCACGCTTTTCAGGAGCTCTTGGGCCAGCGCTTTGACCATAGGCCTGAGTCGCCGGGCGAAGTGGATGATCGTAGGTTTAGTATGGTTTAGTTATATTTAGGTATAAGTATTAATAACAGCTTGTTTTTTCTCAGGGGGGTGCGTCTTTCTGATTCTGCGGCTTGCTGCTACTGCGGCGGGGACGATGACAAAGACGTACGATGACCTCGATGTACTACTTCTACAGCTTCCGCTACTGCTGCATGCGAATGCATGCTAATATAACTACTCCTGATGCTCCATGATTCAAGCTTACCCATTTTTTACCCCACAGGACTACTCCCGCGGTTGATTGCACGACAGCTGGGTTTCGGTCTGCAGCTCAGATGACGACCGAACCTGCTCCCGCCGTCGCCGCTTCGGTGCCAGAAGGTCAACATTCAAATTGACGTCCTGGTGGTAGAACCCCCAACAAAGTAGGTGACTCACCTACTGGCCTCCACCTACTGGCCACATGCTTAAACTAAGGGCGAGGACGGGCCTAAAAACATCGCCTCCATCCAAAAGCGAAGGCCTCCAGCAGAAGATCGGAATTCCTTTGAAGATCGTCATCCGATGGCCTCTCAGGTCCGTCCGAACTTCGACGACTTGGCCTGACTGTCCAGCTCGGCTCCTCAGGAGTCGCGAGCGCTCGGCGACTGTCCTCAGTCGTTTGGGTGGTTGGGACTAACGGTATGATGGTGTTATGTGTTATTTTTTGTATTTTATAGTAATGATGTATGTAATTGTAATGATTAGTGTGTTTTTGACATTTGTTATATTTTGTTATATAATCTCTGTTATGTGTTGATTGTGTTTCCGATAGCACAGTAATAGTTGTTTTGTTCTCCTAAGGGTGCATGCAAATGATTGATCAGATTTTATGTCCTATATGCATGTACTGTATAATTTGTGCTGTGTGCCTCTACCCCATGATACGGTATTGGCGGTTTCTGTTGGACTGGACGATCTTTGTGTGACATCCTTCCCGAACCTCAACCCAACCCAAAACATGTAGCCTCAGTGTGGTTTTGCTCATAAGGTGCCCTGGTATTGGGACCGCAGAAGCCTGCTGCTTAGAACTTCACCGAACGTGTGGTGGACCTTGTTTTTTGTTCGCTTGATTACTAGAACTACATCTACATTCACATGTAACATACTTTGTTGCTTCGACAACTTTCCAGCCGCTGTAACGTAGGGCCTCATGGCAGCTCAGGTTAAGGACGGTGAAGACCAACGAGATGTGTTATTTCTCGGTTGCTCCATTTGCCTGCCAGACGGCACTTTTTTTTGCCAGAATGGATGGGAAGGATTTGCTGACAAGCAAAGCTTGACCAAACCTGCATATGCAATTTTCTACGGCGGGTGCATGATGGAAGAACATATGCGATGTATGCAATCGCTTTGGCGGAAACCGAAGATAGACTGACCACATTTGATTTGCAGGGGCGGTGAAAAGTACTCCAAGCAGCTGTCAAGCGAGGAGAATTCCTTGAGTGTAGGAGTGCTGATTGCAGGTTTGGCAATGGCACATCAGGAGCCGGTGGTTTTCCTCATGTGTTTTATGTTTGATGGAGTGAGGATATCTCCATGTCAGTGGGCATTTGGTAAACTGCCTGCCAGGTCTTTCGAGTGAAAGGTTTTGCTTTCAAGCTTTGTGCATGACTGCCCGACCCTCAAACCCGCCACATGTTCTTCCCTTTTGATGCAGACAATGTCACACTAAAGCACCGTTTGCAAGCCTTGCCTTGGACTAAAGCACCTCGACTCTTCGGCATCTCTCAAAATGCCAATGGGACATGCGTCCATATGCCGTGTGGGGGTGGAAACCAACGCCTTGGTGTCCGTGTCCGTAGGGTCCGTGTCCGCAGCTCCTTCCGTCGCCCGCAGGTCCGACGCGTGACGCGCGTGCGTGGCGTCACTGGAAGCCTTGCATCGAACGTCATTGGAAGCAGCGAATCCGAACATCCCAAAGTGGTGCTCGTGCCGTTGGTCTAACGCCTTTGGTCGAACGCCTTTCGGAAGCTGGAGTGGTCTAAGCCTAGCTTTGGAGATGAATTGGAATGTACATGTGGTGTTTACCAGGTGTTCACAGATCGGCGTGCCGTTCACTACGTCCTTCACCCCCCCAAAATATGACGTGGTTCTTGACGTGCCAAGTCCAGTGTCCAGAGAAAGTGCAACTAGTACAACTATGGCAGTCAAAATGTCGACCAACACATGCCTTGCAACGCCAATGCGTTTTCATTCTTATTGGATCTTGTAGGCTTTGACTTCCAAATTTGCTGCGTTTGCTAACCATGCTCCAGGGAGTTCGGTAGGGGAAGGTGGCGGCATGAGTTCAGCGTTTTGTGTGGCAGCCTGTAGGCACTGAGAGTGTTTGGAGCAATGGTCTGGAACCTAATAGCGATGGCCTCCCAGTATTTCTCCTAAACTGTGACCAACACCACTGGTACTACCACTAGATGTCCTCCGTTGTCTTTCGCGTGTCTAGTCTAGCACCGATGCGCCAACCGATGCGCCGACCGACGCGACATGTGGCCGGGACATGCTGCACCTCTTCTTTCGTGCCAAGGAACCATAAAATTGTTTGAACAAGTGTATGATGTTGAAGACGGGCGCGGGCACAGGTGAAACAGAAGGCGTCGAAGTCCAAGCAAACGGTATGATGTATTCAAACTCTTTGCTTGAGAACCCGAGCTAAGTATGGGCAAGGGCATGAAAGGAAAACCAATGAAAATGATTAATTAATTAGTTTGTTTAACCAGAAATAGTCCGATGAGGAAATTGGTTCCCTCCAAAATCCGCTTGCAGATGAAGAATCAGACAGACCTCAAGGTCTGTTGCTCAAATGGCACTGCTCATCCAGGAGACCAACTGCCGCCGTTCCAGCGAGGGGCTGGTGCTTTGGCCTCTGGTTTCTGCGAGGGGCTGGTGAGGACATCTCCATCTCTCAACTGGAAGCTTGCGGATTTCCGCCCAACTCAGCGACTTCCAGCGGACTTTGGGGAAGCTGGAAGCGGAAGTCGATGGAGAAAGCTTTTGCGAAGCTGAAGGAAGTGAACATCTCACTCATTACCAATCTCACCTGCAATGGCTTCACGACCATTTGGCCTCGCCTCCGTGACACAGGCATCTAGCATTTGCCCCCCACTACTCCGTGACACCAGGAAGCTCCTCGTGGAAGGACCAAGGCCACCCCACTCACGGCCGCCCGGCTGCCACGGCGGCCGGACCTCATCACTGTTCAGAGCGCCGGCGCGGAGTGTTGGAGTACTGCTCGATGAAAGAAACAGTACTCCAAAAAGAGAGAGGACACATAGTCGCATTATGTCACATTTTTGGAAAAGGAACGTTTCACTGACAGGGCATACAAGGGCACCATGATACCCAAGAAAAGCAATGTTGATCATTGTTGGGCATTCTTGAATATCCAGACCTCCATGTTCTATTGTTGCAGTGGTGAACAGATGTAAGGCATTGCCGCGTTTTGATGTAAGGTCCCAGGCATTCATGGGCCACCTGCCACATTGAGAAAGCAGGAAGCTTATTAGCAAGGCTGGCAGCTCGCCAGTCCAGCCAGCCTTTTTAGGAGGACTCGGAGCCGCCGCCGCTTCTAACAGCACCGTTTTGCTTCTGACAGCAAGATCTCGTTTGCTTCGCAATCCTGTGCCCCAATTAAGTTGCCTGGCGGCCCAGCCAGCCGACATCGTGAAATCCCCATTTGATGAAAAAAGAGTGCTTTAGCCTATGGGGCACAGCCGGCGTGACTAAAAACTCTGCCATACCATACAAAGGCAATGTATGGATTTCACTTAGCCGCTAGGGGGGGATTCTGCGCCCTTAGCAAGCTTCCCGTTTGATGCGTGGGAGAAGGATGTCTGTTTGTCTACTACATGTTGTTTTGCCTAAAGTTCACAATCCTGAGCCAGCTGAGCAAGATAGGCAGCCCGCAGGTCATGGGTTGGCACAGTGGTTGGCACCATCATGGGCTGCGTTGGCACGGCGCCAACGCCGCCAGCGCCATGGTGCACCATGGCGCATGGCATCCGGTCCTTGTCAAAGGAAGTTTAGTGTGCAAAACTTCCCTGTTACGGACATTCAACAGCTGTTCAACCACCACTCATCATACACCACTCATCATACACCACTCATCATACACCCCTCATCATACACCACTCATCATACACCACTCATCATACACCACTCATCATACAATACTCATCATACACTACTCATCATATACTACTCATCATACACTACTCATCACACACCACTCATCATACACTACTCATCATACACCGCTCATCATACACCCCTCATCATACACCACTCATCATACAACCACTCATCATACATCACTCATCATACACCACTCCTCATACACCAGTCATCATACACCACTCATCATACACCACTTATCATACACCAGTCACCATACACCACTCATCATACACCACTCATCATACACCACTCATCATACACCACTCATCATACACTACTCATCATACACGACTCATCATACACTACTTATCATCCAGTTTGCTCTACCTCCAGTTGGCTCTAGTGTCAATAGCTCTAGCTCCAATAAGCTCTGAGTTTCAATAGCTCTAGCTCTAGTTAGCTCTGGTTTCAACAGCTCAAGCTCCAGGCAACTCCAGCTCCAGGTGCAGATTTCGTGGCAGGTGCAGCACTTTGTGAACCTCCATGTGCAGATTTCGTGGCAGGTTGCGAACCTCCATGTGCAGATTTCGTGGCAGGTGCAGCACTTTGTGAACCTCCACGTGCAGATTTCGTGGCATGCACAGCACTTTGTGCACCTCCATGTGCAGATTTCGTGGCAGGCGCAGCACGAAATGCCGTATTTTTCAATGGAACCGGTGGCTCCGAAGCTGGCAAGTCAAGGTCTGCGGAACGACGGGTGCGAGACGGTCTCGGGTCATTCTCGGAATCGTCCGTCCATTGGGATTAGAGTTTTCACTTGTTTCTTGAAGATTTCGTTGCAGGTGCAGCACTTTGTGAACCTCCATGTGCAGATTTCGTGGGGTGCAGCACTTTGTGAACCTCCATGTGCAGATTTCGTGGCAGGCACAGCACTTTGTGCACCTCCATGCGCAGATTTCGTGGCAGGCGCAATACAAACTGCGTTGTGGAGAGATAGCGAACGCACGAAATGCTGTATTTTTCAAAGGAACCGGTGGCTCCGAAGCTGGCAAGTCAAGGTCTGCGGAACGACGGGTGCGAGACGGTCTCGGGTCATTCTCGGATCATTCTCGGATCATTCTCGGAATCGTCCGTCCATTGGGATTAGAGTTTTCACTTGTTTCTTGAAGTGAAGATTTCGTGGCAGGCGCAGCACTTTGTGAACCTCCATGTGCAGATTTCGTGGCAGGTGCAGCACTTTGTGTACCTCCATGTGCAGATTTCCTGGCAGGCACAGCACTTTGTGAACCTCCATGTGCAGATTTCGTGGCAGGTGCAGCACTTTGTGAACCTCCATGTGCAGATTTCGTGGCAGGCACAGCACTTTGTGCACCTCCATGCGCAGATGTCGTGGCAGGCGCAATACAAAATGCGTAGTGGAGAGATAGCGAACGCGCGAAAGTATTTTTCAATGGAGCCGGTGGCTCCGAAGCTGGCAAGTCAAGGTCTGCGGAACGACGGGTGCGAGACGGTCTCGGATCATTCTCGGATCATTCTCGGAATCGTCCGCCCATTGGGATTAGAGTTTTCACTTGTTTCTTGAAGTGAAGATTTCGTGGCAGGTGCAGCACTTTGTGAACCTCCATGTGCAGATTTCGTGGCAGGCACAGCACTTTGTGCACCTCCATGTGCAGATTTCGTGGCAGGCAGAACACTTTGTGAACCTCCATGTGCAGATTTCGTGGCAGGTGCAGCACTTTGTGAACCTCCATGCGCAGATTTCGTGGCAGGCACAACACTTTGTGAACCTCCATGTGCAGATTTCGTGGCAGGCGCAGCACTTTGTGAACCTCCACGTGCAGATTTCGTGGCAGGTGCAGCACTTTGTGAACCTCCATGTGCAGATTTCGTCGCAGGCGCAGCACTTTGTGAGCCTCGAGGTGCAGATTTCGTGACAGGCGCAGCACTTTGTGAACCTCCATGGGCAGATTTCGTGGCAGGCACAGCATCTGGGGAGCTGGAAGCTGAGAACTGGCGACTTTGTAGTACAACTTTAGTACGCGGAGCAATCTGTGAGCTGGAAGCTGAGAACTGGCGACTTTCTAGTACAACTTTAGTACG